TCTCCCTCTCCCTCTCCCTCTCCCTCTCCCTCTCCCTCTCCCTCTCCTCTCCTCTCCTCTCGATGTCACAGTTCGATCCAGCTCGGTCTGGGCACGCGCGTGCCCGAGCACATGTCAGAATACATCTCAGAAACAGTCAGAAACTATATCAGGTCAGTGCATTGGTGCATTCGAGCATGATGGTTTAGAATGCCAGAAAGGTTGTCAGAAGAAGATATGCCAGATATACCAGAAAGAATGTGCCGGAAGATATGCCAGGTAGAAAGCCAGAAAAAATGTCAGAGCACATGCCAGGTAGAATGTCAGAAAATATGCCAGAAAAAATGCCGAAGATATGCGAGATAGAATGCTGGGAAGGATGTCAGATAGAGTACGAGAAGATACACCAGATAGAATGCCAGAAGATATGCCAACTAGATTGTAAGAAAATATTCCAGATAGCCTGCCACAAAGGATGTCAGAAGATATGCCAGTTAGAGTGCCAGAAGATATGCCAGATAGAATGCGAGGAAGGATTCAGAAGATATGCCAAGTAGAATGTCAGAAGGCATGGCAGAAAGGATATCAGAAGAGACGCAAGAAAGAATGCCACAAGGCGGTAGCCTGTCAGATGATTTTCCAGACGGAATGCTGGAAGATATGCCAGGTATAATGCCAGGAAGGATGTCAGAGTACCTGCCAGGTAGAATGTCAGATGGCATGCCAGAAATGCCGGAGAATATACCAAATAGAGTGCCTCAAAGGATGTCAGATAGCAAGCCAGAAAGGATGTCAGACATTGTCCAGTTAGAGCGTCAGAAGATATTACTGTATACTGTAAGATATTACAGCAGAGATGCCAGAAGGTGTGCCAGAAGGAGTGGCAAGGAAGGATGTCAGAATGTAAGCCAGAATCAATGTCAAAAAACATGCCAGGTAGAATGCCAGAAGATATGCCAACACGATTTCGGAAGATATGCTGGGTAGAATGCCAAAGATAATGTAGAATGCCAGAATGTTTGCCAGACAGAAGGAAGACATGCCAGAAATATGTGTTTTTCTTTAAAAGTAAACTCCTTGCTGCTGCATTGTCATTGCTTTACCATCCATATTTATGCTTCTACCGCAGGATCTTGTGCCATCTCCGAGCTGTAAGCTGTCGGTAAAGTGTGGTCCAGCGCAAACAAGACGACCTTGGCTATTGCGAATACGTCCCGTATGGTCAAAAGTCAACATGATGGGATGATCCGTATTGGCGTATCATCGGCAATGAGCTAGACATCGGACGAATGAAACAAACATGCCAACAATTTCATGTAGTTTAGGAATAGACGATGGCAGTATGACACAGTTGCATCTGGCAAATATCGGTGCATCAGTCCAGACTTTCCAAGAGGAACGAAACAAGACAACACCAGAAATGTTGGGAGTGAACGCGCATTGCCAAAGACCGCCCAGTGCCACGACATAATTCAATACAAGCGCTGCTACTGTATTGTTCACTGCCAGGCTGTTATCCCCCCTCCGCACGTCTTGCCAATAAGTTTAGTTGTGGTGGGCACTGATCGACGCTTGTATATAGCATTTTGTAGCAATGTATAGTATAGTTGCTCCTACCAATTCTTTTTTGTGTTTCCTACTCTTTTGTGTGCACCATTTTGGATGTTGATAACCATGGTAGCAATCACAGTTTGCTGCCTGCATTGGAAGCATGTCAGATCAGCAAACCCGAAGTGTTGAATCGGTACAGACAGCGAAGCAGTAAATGCCGAAACTGTTCGGGTAGACTGCAGCCGATGCATTGGTTCGTTCTCAATGGTTACAGGGCTTTGCCAGAGCTGCCCCGATATAACAAACTTCGCGCTCAATCTGAGTACACGCTTTGACATATTTCACATATATATATATATATTATATACATGCATGCCATTCTTGTCAGTTTTTCCGTAGTGGTCTCGCTGTAGTGAGATGAGACTAGTGGAGAGATTCTTGGACTCAAACGCCAACCAAGTCCTGTCAGCCGGGTTGTTGGCGCATCAAAAGCCGTAGGTGCCTTGAAGCTTCCTGGAGATTGGTGGAATGATGATCCTTGCAAAAGGAGGTTGTGAGACTAGGATGGGGTTTCTCAGCAGTATACTATATACAGTATATATATATATATCAATGTGAAAAACTGTAGTTTGAGTGCCAGGGCCCAGCATTCAAATTGGGTACGAGCCGAGGTTTTTAGCTGATGAGGCTAGACTTGCTGGATTGCTGATTGACGGCAGAAAGGCGGATGTCAAAAAGAATCAACTGGACGCTCCGAGTGAGACGGGATAGAGGAGCATCAAGGTTTGCTACAAAACGAGAGCAGCTACAACTCAAGCTGATGAGCTTTCATTCAATGTCCTCTTTGTTTTCAAGGTCGAAGTGGGTGCTTGGAGTATAGCAGAGTTCCTGCTCGAGGTGCAAAGATGCAAAGCCCTCGTAGCCTTGAAATCAGATCCATTCCCTTTCTTGAGGCAAATGCTGACATCAATGCCCTTCGATTTGACGGCAAAACATCGCTGATGCTTGCGGCTTTGCCATCATGTTTGGACAAAACTTTATGATGGCAAGCTCATTTTCACAATGCCATGAAAACATAGCGGCCATAGCGTTGAGTGTGCCTGCCAGGTTGAAGCAAACCAAGTGGAGTTTGTACGAACCATTGTCCATCAAAAAGCAGAACTCAATACCAAGGACTTTGCTTGTATGCGCCCCAATATTTTCAACAATGCTGATGAGAGTGAATCATGAATGTGGAATATTCGAAGGCATTCCCATGACTCATGCTGAAATGAAGACGCCTTGGGCTCGTGTAGAAAAGATGCATTAGACCAATGGATCACACTCGCGGTGTTTGATGCCTGTTTGAATCTTGCGAACCACCTTGCTTTCGCTGCTGTTAGTCAAGTGGCAGCGGAGCCAGGATTGTGATCTTGGTTCCCTGCCGGCTGACTTCGTTGGACCATGGGCCCCTTCAGAACTCTGACCCATGTAAGATGTGGTCGCTACAGAGCAATGCGACGGACAGAGCTCTCTCAGGTGCCAACCAGCAGGGCTTGACCACAGCCCGGTCCAAGGAGACGCTTCCACCACCATTTTTTACACCTGGTGCATGTATTGGTCAGATGCCACAGCAAGCCTCGAAGCCTTCAAGGATCAAAGAACCTTAGTTTTCCCAAAATGATATGTAATGTTCCTCTGACAACAGGATTTGGCTTTGGCTGTGCTTTTCCGGGCGCGCAACAGTCTGGAGGCCCAGAGTCGTCGCGAAGCTGGTTGAGCGCTTTCACGGGGAGTTAATCAACAACACTCCTCAGGAGCGCTCAGCAACACTCCCCAGGAGAAGCATTGACGGATGCCCAGCTTGAGAGCTTGGCCATTAAGTATCAGGACATGGTGCGGCGCTTCGACCGCTACATCCACCAGAAGCTCTGTGACAAAGGTGGTCAGAGTTTTGTTGCAGGAGCTTCCCCGGATCAGCTAGATCTGGTTGACTGGATTGTGGATGACGAGTATGAGGAGGATTTGATGCTCGATGAGGCTGTTGATGAAAGTTCAGAAAATGACAGCGAAGAGAATAGAACTTTGAATGCCTGCTTTTTGATCGCGCGCTGGAGTATACGAAAGAAATTCCCAACTACATTTATGGCAACTGCGGCGCCGTGAAGCAGCGCGAGAAGAAAGTCAAACGGCCAGGTAGAGGTCGTGGTGGTTCCGGCTTAGGTCAGCAGCCATTTTGGCGCCAAGAACAAGAGAATTTTCAGGTGGAGAACATGGCCACGCGTTGAAGGATTGTCCAAATGATCGCAGCAAGACACTTTTGCTCGCAGAGGTTAAGCGACGGGTCAAGAAAGGATCTATATGCAGCATCATGCAATTCCAGTGGAGCAGCGTTGCGCAGTGCTCGTTGAGCAGACAGATTGGCATTGTCAGTCGATAGTCGTTTTGAGGTTTGCTGCAGTACATTGGTTGGTAACGTGCAGCCCCAAGGCGGAAAAGATGTGGAACAGCGGCCATTGCAAGCGCTTGCTGGAGTTGCAACAGAAACTGGAGAAGCCATTTTTGACACTGCTGCGAAAAATCGTGCCAGCCTTGGATTGGAGGCAGTCCCACATTTAAGGAGGTTTTGTGCCCGAAGTGCTTGCAAGTGCAATGTCTTGATCAGGGGCTGAGGGTCACGGACATCCAAGATGAAGGTTCCTTCACCACACCTTTTCTGCTTGCAAAAGGTGCAAGTGCGCCAACAGCAGCTGCAATACTTGTCTCATTTTTCGGTTCACAGTAGCTTTTTTGCCAGCTGAAGTACTTACAACTGGTATGAAGCACGGGGCCCACAACGGCAACTCTCGTTTTGGCCGGGCATGGTTTGTTGACACCTTCCCCGGACGGTGGGGCTCGCTTCCACTGCACCTCCTTAGAGCCGACTCAGCCGCAGCAAAACGCAGCAAAAGCTCTTGTCCTGGACACCGCCAAGACAAAGCGGAAGGAACCAGAAACGTCTCAGCTGGGAGGCCGACCGCGCGCCCCGCCTGCGTGTTGCGTAAGTGCAGCAGCCTCCTCAAACCTTGGATATCAACGCCGCGGTCCGGCGCCTGAAGCATGTGAAACTCAAAAGCCACCCCCTCGAGGAACAATAGTAAGTTTCACGCAAGCTTGTTTTCGTAGGTAAAATAACCACAGAAAAATACCACACAGTTGGCAAGTCTTTATTAACGCGCCCGCGATTTGCGTAAGTCGCCGCTGGGCTAAGAGCTTGCCGAGCGCTGACCGCAGTGGGCTAAGGAGGGTGAGCCCGAAAAAGGTGGACGCGTTGCGCGTCAAACCGCATTCAAACCAGCTACAGAAACGAGCTTGCGCAACATTTGCAATCGAGGCAGGCAAGCTTTGCAGCTTTTTCAGTCGAGAGCTTCGACGTTACCAATGAGTGTCGTTGATGCGGTGGCAAAGTATAAGGAAGGCGGCCCCTTTTTACTCCAACAATATGTGGCCCATTCTCACGCCCAGTCGGCGCGGGAATGTGCGGCGTGTTAACGCTGGGCCCTGAAAATCAATCGCGGCGACGGAAAGCAAGACATACCGTGACATGTCGCTCATGAGCATGGATGCCAAAGCTCACTACGATGCCTTGCTGTCAGATCAGAGTTCTCACCAGTTCAAAAAGTTGTGACGGGGGTGTCTCCAGGTGCGTCCAGCGCATATGCAAACTGCAAGTTGGGGAGTCTGGATTGCGATGGATAGCTTGCTGTGGTCTTTGCGGGCTTAGTTGTAGCGAGAGCGACGTTTTCAGAATCAGTAACGGTACCCTCCGGGTCTGGGGCAACTGTTCGGGCTGAGGCGTGCTATTAGTAACTGAATATCGAGTTGACCTGGAACCGCGCTGTCATTTGATTGACTTAGAGACTGAAGCCGATGTAGTCTTGCAACGTCGATGCCACTCAAAAACAAACAGAACAGGGGACCACGGGTAGTACATTTTTCTCCTTTTGTCTTTTTTTGCGCTGCGCTCAACCACAATCGTCAGAATATCTAAATCTCTGCACTGCACTGCAGGCATGAACCACACAATCATCATATCTGAATCTCTGCACTGCGCTGCTGTCAAAAATCACAATCCCAAAAAGCAAAAACCAAAACTATTAACCCAATAGTCTTTGCTGCGCCGTCATCCATTGGGTTGGATCCTTTTCGTTGAGCTCGCAGGAGATACGCGTTTTGAGTTTCCATTTTGCAGTCATTTGCAGCCACTTGCAAGTGGCTGCAAGTGGCTGCCCAAGCAAGTGGCTGCAAGTGGCTGCAAGTGACTGCTACTTCTGTCCGGAGAATATCATGATTTCTCCGCACGCAGCTCTGGAGAAAACCACGATTTCTGCAATGCTGTTCTGCGAAGAAATTCCGGTTTTCTCCAGAGCTGCGCGCGGAGAAATCATGAAATAACCCAAGACTTGTTTGAGAATAACTTCCAAACTTCTGCAGAGCTAGCGACGAAGAAATCTTGCAGCTTTTAGATAAAGAACTCACAGTGCACGTGTTGAAGCTTACTTGCTTGAGTGACAAGTGGCTGCCAAGTGGCTGCCTGAGCAAGCGGCTGCGAGTGGCTGCAAGTGACTGCAAAACCAAAATTCAAAACGTACGTCGTTTGCTCGCTCTCTGATCTTTTTGATTTTTTGGATTTGGAGAGAGACTGTGTCAAAAACCATATCCAAAACAATCCTAATGCAAACTATCCGTTGGGTGTTGCGAACGTTTCGTGTTATCTCATCTCTTTTTCTTTGAGTGAAACGTGCGGAGGATGAACGTGGTTCAACAGCTCTATCAATCGCTCTGGAGATGAAGCGCTCCTTGGTAGAAGAAGGTCCCTGTTTGTCCCACAGGACTTCTCATTTACAGTAATCAGTAGTAGTTGTAGTAGGAGTAGGGCTAGGAATAGGAGTAGGGGTAGTAGTAGTAGTAGCAGTAGTAGTAGTAGTAGTAGGAGTAGGAGTAGGAGTAGGGCTAGGAATAGGAGTAGGGGTAGTAGTAGTCGTAGTAGTAGTAGTAGTAGTACTAGTAGTAGTAGTAGTAGTAGTAGTAGTAGTAGTAGTAGTCGTAGTAGTAGTAGTAGTAGTAGTAGTAGTAGTAGTAGTAGTGGGTAGTAGTGGGTAGTAGTGGGTAGCAGTGGGTAGTAGTGGGTAGTAGTGGGTAGTAGTGGGTAGTTGTGTGTAGTAGTAGGTAGTAGTAGGTAGCAGGTAGTAGGCAGTAGGTAGTAGGTAGTAGGTAGTAGTTAGTAGGTCGTCGTCGTCGTCGTCGTCTCGTCGTCGTCTATAGTCGTCGTCTAGTCGTCGTCTAGTCGTCGTCTAGTCGTCGTCTAG